GCCATCGTGTCGGGGTGCCATCACGTCAGGGTGCCAAAATTGCAAAAATGTATGTTTCAAATATTTTTTAAGAATGTATGTGGGAGGGGGGGGGGGGGAGAAGTTTGGAAGGGGCATTTTCCGCACCGGGTAGCACCTGACCTTGCTGCGCCGCTGGGGGAGAGTAGATTTGTCCCTTGCCAAGGAGCATTTCTTGAGTGATAAAATCACAGGCGGGCCACGTATCATTATCAGCTAAACAATGAGCTTGTCATTTTTGTCTGGGACATTACTGCATGTCACATCTCGTGACATCTTGTGACATCTCGAGACATCTCGAGACATCTCGTGACATCTCGTGACGTGATGGCTGCAACTGATTGTCCCTAGAGAGATATACCTATGACGTTAGGCTGGTGCTGGGGACAGCGGCTTGTGCATGTTTATACCAAGGGCAAGGAACTGTTACCAAGGTCAGAACAAATAATTTGCAGGCCTCACACGGCCCTCTGACCGCTGGTCTCACACGGCCCTCTGACCGCTGGTCTCACACGGCCCTCTGACCGCTCGCCTCACACGGCCCTCTGACCGCTGGTCTCACACGGCCCTCTGATCGCTGGCCTCACACGGCCCTCTGACCGCTGGCCTCACACGGCCCTCTGACCGCTGGTCTCACACGGCCCTCTGACCGCTGGCCTCACACGGCCCTCTGACCGCTGGTCTCACACGGCCCTCTGACCGCTGGTCTCACACGGCCCTCTGACCGCTGGCCTCACACGGCCCTCTGACCGCTGGTCTCACACGGCCCTCTGACCGCTGGCCTCACACGGCCCTCTGATCGCTGGCCTCACACGGCCCTCTGACCGCTGGCCTCACACGGCCCTCTGACCGCTGGCCTCACACGGCCCTCTGACCGCTCGCCTCACACGGCCCTCTGACCGCTGGTCTCACGCGGCCCTCTGATCGCTGGCCTCACACGGCCCTCTGACCACTGGCCTCACACGGCCCTCTGACCGCTGGCCTCACACGGCCCTCTGACCGCTCGCCTCCCACGGCCCTCTGACCGCTGGTCTCACACGGCCCTCTGATCGCTGGCCTCACACGGCCCTCTGACCGCTGGCCTCACACGGCCCTCTGACCGCTCGCCTCACACGGCCCTCTGACCGCTGGCCTCACACGGCCCTCTGACCGCTCGCCTCATTCGGCCCTCTGACCGCTGGTCTCTCACGGCCCTCTGACCGCTGGTCTCTCATGGCCCTCTGACCGCTGGTCTCTCACGGCCCTCTGACCGCTGGTCTTTCACGGCCCTCTGACCGCTGGTCTCTCACGGCCCTCTGACCGCTGGTCTCTCACGGCCCTCTGACCGCTGGTCTCTCACGGCCCTCTGACCGCTGATCTCTCACGGCCCTCTGACCGCTGGTCTCTCACGGCCCTCTGACCGCTGGTCTCTCGCCTCTGGTATCATCCAGGCCTCTCATGTGCCAGACAAGGGGTGGACTCGGGAGACAACTGGGAAACTCCCTAGAAAGGACTAAAGGAAAAGAAAAGAAGAGGGGGTTGGGGAAGCTTCTATTACGATCTGTATTTATCACTTTCGCGGTGGCTGGGAGGTGTCCTTGAACCAGCGGATTTCGGCCCACGTGGCTAGTACTGTCGCCACGAACTGTGCAGGTTGTAGTTTTATTTTTGGCCTCAACAGATGTCAGCCATCTGTCAACGTACCCAGCGGAGCAGCAGCAGAAGCAGCAGAAGAAGAAGAAAAAGAGAAGAAGAAGAGGAGGAGGAGGAAGAAGAAGAAGAAGAAGAAGAAGAAGAGGTAAAGAAGAAGAAGAAGAAGAGAAGGTAAAGAAGAAGAAGAAGAAGAAGAAGAAGAAGAAGAAGAAGAAGAAGAAGAAGAAGAAGAAGAAGAAGATGAAGATGAAGAAGAAGAAGAAGAAGAAGAAGAAGAAGAAGAAGAAGAAGAAGAAGAAGAAGAAGAAGAAGAAGAAGAAGAAAAAGAAGAAGAAGAAGAAGAAGAAGAAGAAGAAGAAGAAGAAGAAGAAAAAGAAGAAGATGAAGAAGAAGAAGAAGAAGACAGAAAGTACAGTGGTTAGGATTACAAGAGCTTACATACAAATTTACAATTGAACATTAATCCCACTGTTCTTGCGTCACAGTTTCATCGTGTATCGAGAAAGTCAAGCGAACATTGCCCAGGAAGAGGACCGGGGAGGTGGTGGCGATCAGCTCAGTGGAGCAGTTCCACAAGGTTATCAAGCGAGGTCGACTGACTGTGGTGGATTTCTACGCCACCTGGTGTGGTCCATGCAAAGCCATCGCCCCTGTGATCGAGTCGTGGGCCGCGGAGTTTCGCGATGTTGTCTTCGTTAAAGTGGACGTGGACGAACACCCAGAAATTGCCCAGGAGTACATGATCTCCGCAATGCCAACGTTTGTGTTAATCAAGAACAGCGTGACACTCGATGTCATTGTTGGTGCCTTCGAGGAAAAACTGAGAGAAACGATTCTTGTTTTGAAGTAGACGTGCGCGTCTATGAGATGAGTGGTACAGCTATTTGGAGAATGAATCAAGAAGTGGCGACACTGCACTGAGGACATCCCACACGTGCTCCGTCCCCTTCTCCAGCAGACAACAAAGAGTCGACATGTTAATATTACTAGTTGCAACCTATTTAAAAGTCCATCTGTGTTTCTTCTTCATCGTTGAAAAACTTCCAGAAGCTCAGATAAAACAGAACCGACACGTGAAAGGTTACAAACATTCAATGTCACAAGTGTCAAGTTTGCAGAACCAAGGCGTTTTACACTAGAGGAAATACATCATTTGCAAGTTTGTCGATGAAATATAGTGTAAATTAACAAAGTCGATTGAGTTTTATCTGTAATCTTATCTTACGTCTTTTTTAAAGTTAATTCAAAAATTGCACATGCATGACTTACCAGCCATCTGTGGAGTAAAGCTTAGCCCGGTGATGACAGTGTCTTGTTCTGTTGTACACATTCCATAAGAGTAGTTCCGGAAACAACAGTTTGTGTTCCCAGGTCGGATGTATCGCCTTGGCTCTGTCAGATCGGGAGCTGCCATGGTGTAGTTGATAGAGGCTCGCCTGTAGATCCAAAGGTCCTGGGTTCAAATCCAAACAGAGCTGGAGATTTATCAAAACCGACCTAGGTTTCCTAAGCGACCCAGCCTTAAATGGGTACCAGATAAAGTCTTGTGTCAGTTGCTCTATGAAATGAAATAGAGGTCTAGCCCTATGTGCAGACCCGGGTTCGAATCCTCGGTAAGGCTGGGTATTGTTTTCTGTCAGGGCAACATAGAATCCTCACCAGCACAGTCGTGGCGACAGCACTAGCCATGCAGCCGTAAATCCTCAGACTCAAACCCCCACTTCCCATTGTATACATCGCATAAGTGGTCATAAAGGCAGCTACTCAGGAATGTATGGAATTGTACAAATAGAATTACAAAGGTCAGATTTTTAAGAGCATGCATCTTTCCCATTGCAACATACGCCTGTGAGACCTGGACACTTACTAAACAAGCGGAACAGCGCATAAATGCATTTGAATATAAAGGTTATAGACAGGTTCTAAGAATATCTTGGGTAAAGAAAAGAACAAATGCATCCATACTTCAAGAGCTGAATATTGAAGAGGGTTGGCTAGTAAAGACAATAAAACAAAGAAAATTGAAATATTTTGGTCACTTGAAACGTCATGGAAGTCTAGAGAGAACAATAATGGAGGGGTATATGCCTGGGAAGAGAGGAAGAGGAAGGCCAAGGAGAAGATGGGTGCAGGATGTGGCAGATGATCTCCAGATGGGTGTATCAGACGCAGGACATCTTGCTCATGATAGGAAGGTTTTCCGGAGGGTTGTTATGGCAGCGAGGTTCCGCGAGGGACATGCTACTGAATGAATGAATGAACTCAGAAATGAAACGTTTACGAAATAGAAACATATCTAACAAAATGTTGGACAAATGTTGGATGAATGTTGATTGCTGCAGGTGTGAGAAACTTTGAATGAAGTGACTGGCGATCTAAAAGCTGCCAATTTTGCAATAACTGTGACACAGCAAGAGCGTTGTACTGTTCAGAAAGCAGTGGCAAACTACTGAAGGTAAAGTGACCTAGTGAGACCACACAACAGGTTGGAAATGGTGGAGGTGTTTGCCAGGTCAAGGATGTATGCAACCTACTGTTTAGTTGATTATTACAGTGAAGACAAAAAACCACTGGGGAACTCTGTAGCCAAGAGCTAACCTTCAGTTTGTTGGTTTATGTTTGGCAAGATCGTTAGCATCGATAAAAGGCCACAAATTCAACTCTCAAATGGTTGCGTACACAGATAGGAAACACGCTCGCCCAACAAGAGTTAAAACAGATAGGGGACACGCTCGCCCAACAAGAGTTAAAACAGATAGGGGACACGCTCGCCCAACAAGAGTTAAAACAGATAGGGGACACGCTCCCCCAACAAGAGTTAAAACAGATAGGGTAGACTCTCGCCCAACAAGAGTTAAAACAGATATGGAACACGCTGGCCCAACACGAGTTAAAACAGATAGGGTAGACTCTCGCCCAACAAGAGTTAAAACAGATAGGGTAGACTCTCGCCCAACAAGAGTTAAAACAGATAGGGTAGACTCTCGCCCAACAAGAGTTAAAACAGATATGGAACACGCTGGCCCAACAAGAGTTAAAACAGATATGGACCGGACAAGTAAGAGCTTTACTTGTTTGCCCAATGAGAGATAATTCCGGTGATATCTGTCGGTTGTATTTGTTCTGTGCCTAGATAACCAGGGACCTATTTCTTACACGAGCTTGAATAAACAACATCTCTAGACGGAGGGTAAACAACTCTGGCATAAAAGGTTGCTATCCACTTGGTTTCCTTCTCCAGGTTGCGTGGAAAGTTGGTCAGCAGACAAGTGGAATCTATTAAATCAGGTTTTACGGTTGGGTACTCATAAAACGGTTGACGGAATGTAGGCAGCAAGTGGGCCTGATAAGACACCATTGATCAACGTTGGCTGGTTTCTATATCACAGCTAAATCAGCGGTTTTGGGGGTAGTTGGTGCAGGATCTTAGGGTACGCATGTTTCTGACTGCTTTAGAAGCTGAAAGGGATAGTGTCCTAGGGGAGTGACCTTCAAGATGCGAGTCTTTGAGTCGGAACAATTTGCAGACCTTCAGGTTGAACACCAGTCAATGAAAAAATGGATGGTAGGGGGAAGGGGGTGGGGTGAGGCAGTCAGTCTTGTAGAACTGTCGTTTATTCGTCTGGAACCGTGAAATGCTTCAGTGGGTTCCTGTTGGTAAACGCACATCTAACCGACTTATCTCTTAGCTCCCCTCACGCGTAAACACCATTACACAGAGAGACGGATCCCTTATAATTGGCTGTAATGGGCACTCATGGTCATCCTGGCGCCATCCAGCGACAGATGTCCAAACCTGCGCTGGAGTAACCGCTCACGTCTGTGGTACCATATTGCCAGCTCCATGAGAACTGACCACTGGGTATCAACATGTTGTAGGTCCTTCGACGAACTCCCCTCACAGACCGTCAAAGAGGTCTCTATGTCTCGCCAGTTCTTAAGTCTTGTGTGTCTTATCAGTTCTTCTGTCTCGTGTGTCTCGTCAGTTCTCCTGTCTCTATGTCTCACCAGTTCTCTAGTCTCGTGCGTCTCGCCAGTTCTCCTGTCTCGTGTTTCTCACTAGTTCTCCTATTTCGTGTCTCATCAGTTCTCCTGTTTCGCGCGTTTCGCCAGTTCTCAAGTCTCGTGTGTCTCACCATTTCTCCTGTCTCATGTGTCTCACCAGTTCTCCTGTCTGCTGTGTCTCACCAGTTCTCCTGCCTCGTGTGTCTCACAGTTCTCCTGTCTCGTCAGTTCTCCTGTCTCGTTTGTCTTACCAGTTCTCCTGTCTCGTTTGTCTCGCCAGTTCTCACGTCTCGTGTGTCTCGCCAGTTCTCTTGCCTCGCTGGTCTACCTGTGCGCTGATCAACCGCTTTTACCTCCCTCATGAACACTGTTGTCTACTACTGTCCTGTCAGAGCTACTTAACATGGCCGAGATATTTTAGACACTATGATGTTTATGAGCCAAGTTTCTGCAACGTTCATATCTTGTAGAATGTCTGCATTGTGTTTAGTATTTTACCTCAACATTCTGAGAGTGTCTTCTCAATCTACAGGTGCCAACATAACATACAGAAAAATACCGAAAACCTTTATGTAGCACCCTGACACATGACAACAAAGTCAGCGGTCAGTTGACATTCTTTCCTGACAAATACAATACAACGGCAACATGTGAATGCAGGCAGGCAGGCACATACCGCCCCAGATGAGGCTCGGCAGGAATTTGACAAAACACGAAAGTACATAAACAACTAAGTCCGGAGATGATTTATCGATGACAGACTTTGATCTTCTTAATCCTTTCCTAAATCCGTATCTGCACGTCGTGTCAAGATTTATTGACTGGATGAAGTTGTGTTATTGTGTCTAGTTTTTCAAATATTCCTGGTTTTGTTGCTGACGTCTGTCTTGGACTGTCATGTTGTTCTCTGCAGGGTCGGTGCTTGTACTCGGGAAATACTTCCCTGAACCAAGTCTTGTTGATTGTATGTTTGTGTCTGGCTTGTCAGCTGGCTGATGTGCGCTACCCCTAGCTGGACTTTGAGTGGGTTTCTGCTGGGGCGTGGCTAGAGGTGGAGATATGTCGCATCGGGGATGGGAGGGGAAGAAAGGAAGGGGGGGGGGGAGGTAGTCACAGAGACCATCACCAAGTCTGGGTTGGCTGAGATCATTCCGAAGAACTGAGTATTAGCTCTTTCGTTCAAAGTCGAGCACATTGGCATGAGAGACGAGGAACCAACAGTTTGCATTCAAATGCGCCAGACATGTAAAACGGATGTGCAAAGCAAAACTCATGTATTGGAACAAGACCAGTGGGTAAACAACAAGAACTTTTCACTGGAGTTTACGATCATTGAATGCAAAATAAAGAAATCTTAGCTGTGAGACCAGTTCATTGACGTCTGAGTCATCGGATCACTGAAAGAGTTGCTATCGCTCATGTATCATTTGTGCAGACTTCCTGATTGTTTCTACAGTTTAGAGTTCGCGTGTTGCGAGCCGCTGTAGTTGGGTAGATCATTGACATGCCCACGACTAACAGAGATGTGCTACTATGGTCTCTATTCTGTTTCTACAGTTTAGAGTTTGCGTGTTGCGAGCCGCTGTAGTTGGGTAAGATCATTGACATACACAGAGATGTGCTACTGTGGTCTCTATTCTGTTCCTACAGTTTAGAGTTTGCGTGTTGCGAGCCGCTGTAGTTGGGTAAGATCATTGACATACACAGAGATGTGCTACTGTGGTCTCTATTCTGTTCCTACAGTTTAGAGTTTGCGTGTTGCGAGCCGCTGTAGTTGGGTAAGATCATTGACATACACAGAGATGTGCTACTGTGGTCTCTATTCTGTTCCTACAGTTTAGAGTT